TGCCCATCTTAGATACTAAAGTACTTGGGTGATTTCTTGTTTTTCGTTACCCCCTGTAAGCATGAAGCACACCGGGTCTACAGGAAAGGCGGTCTGCCAGAACTGGTTTGATGCTCTGACGAAAATGCAAAGATCAGCCGGGCTCGGTGACTCATGCCTGTAATCCCAGCACTTTGGGAGGCCGAGGCAGGTGGATCACCTGAGGTCGGGAGTTTGAGACCAGCCTGACCAACATGGAGAAACCCCATCTCTACTAAAAATACAAAATTATCTGGGTGTGGTGGTGCATGCCCGTAATCCCAGCTACTCAGGAGGCTGAGGCAAGGGAATCGGTTGAAACCGGGAGATGGAGGTTGCGGTGAGCCAAGATCGTGCCATTCATTGCACTCCACCCTGGGCAACAAGAGTGAAACTCCGTCTCAAAAAAAAGAAAAGAAAGAAAATGCAAAGATCACCTGGAAGACAATTCCCTGGCAAGACAAACTCAAGACTCATAGTTAGGTCACTTGAGTAAACACATGAGTGAATGAATGAATACATGAGTGTGAGGCAGCCATTTGAGTCATCTGGGTGTGAGGGAGGGACAGGAACAAAGTCAAGTTAGGGGAAATGACTTGGCATTACAGATCTTCCCTTGCTGAGATGTGACGTTTTCTGCTAGGATATAAACTGGGTGTAGGAGCCAAATTGCAATGCTGGATCTATTCTTGCCACCTTAATGAGAAAAGCGGAAGTCTGGTTTAGCCCATTTATCTGCATACCATCATTAAGTTGCATACAGATCGAGGTCCAGATTTTTAATTGCACTGATCTGTCTCTGGGAGAAAAGAAGCTCCAAGATTTTCTTTGTCAAGCATGAGCTAAGTTTGATTATAGTTCTGCCCACACATTTGATGTAAGAAGCAGATTAAAGTTTATTGCAGTCTTGGCTGGGGGTGGTGGCTAATGCCTGTATTCCTAGCCCTTTGGGAAACCGAGGCAGGAAGATCACCTGAGGTCAGGAGTTCGAGACCAGCCTGGTCTACATGTTGAAACCTTGTCTCTATGAAAAATACAAAAAAAAAAAAAAAAAAATTAGCCAGGCATGGTGGTGCATGCCTGTAATCCCACCTACTTGGGAGGCTGAGACAGGAGAATCACATGAACTCCAGAGGCAGACGTTGCAGTGAGCCAAGATCGTGCTACTGCACTCCAGCCTGGGCAACAAAGTGAGACTCCATCTCAAAAAAAAAAAAAAAAAAGTTTATTGCGGTCTTTGAGAATTTATACACTTGTTGTTTTAAAGCCACTTAAAAAGTGTGTATGAAATGAATGGTATGATGCATATGGTCAGCTTTCCATGAACACATTCATAAGAATATATTCCAAAGATTTCTCCCAAGTGATCATAGGTGAGTAGTATTAGTGTCTTGGAGAAAGATTGCCACATTCTTTAGTGTTGTACACAAATGCCATACAGAGAGTGAATTACTGCCTTTCATATTCTACCTGCCATAATCTTTGAAGATAATTCCTTTTTTCCCCCTAAGATCAGGATGGTACAGCTTTTGTAAAAATTGCCCTATGACAAATTACAGGAAAATATATTATCAGGGTGGCATGAACAGCATTATACTTTATTTTATTTATGGAGGTTAAAAGGTCTCAGCCAGGCATGGTGGCTCACGCCTGTAATCCCAACACTTTGGGAGACCAAGGTGAGTGGATCATCTGATTTTAGGAGTTCAAGACCAGCCTGGCCAACATGGTGAAACCCTGTCTGTACTAAAAATACAAAAATTAGCCAGGCATGGTGGCGAGTGCCTGTAATCCCAGCTACTCAGGAGGCTGAAGCAGAAGAATTGCTTGAACTCAGGAGGCAGAGGCTGCAGTGAGCTGAGATCGTACCACTGCACTCCAGCCTGAGCAACAGAGCAAGATTCTGACTAAAAAAATTTTTTAAAATAATAAAATAAAAGATAAAAGGTCTCAAGTCAAACTTAGTTGAAATTTTGGCCCTACCAATTATTATCTCTTAGATCTTAGCAAATAAGCCTTTCTGAGTCTCAGGTTTTGCTCTGCAAAATGAGGCAAAATTTTGCTTTGTAGGATTGTTCTGATTAAATGGAATTTTATATATATATATATATATATTTTAGATGGCGTCTTGCTGTGTCGCCCAGGCTGGAGTGCAGTGGCATGATCTCAGCTCACTGCAAGCTCCGCCTCCCGGGTTCATGCCATTCTCCTGCCTCAGGCTCCCCAGCAGCTGGGACTACAGGCTCACGCCACCACACCCAGCTAATTTTTGTATTTTTAATAGAGACGGGGTTTCACTGTGTTAGCCAGGATGGTCTCGATCTCCTGACCTTGTGATCCACCCGCCTCAGTCTCAACAAAGTGCTGGGATTACAGGTGTGAGCCACAGCGCCCGGCCGAAATTATAGATATATATTTATATCCCTTAGTGCATAGTGACCAGTATATTGTATGCATTTTACAATTTTCAGAGTATTATCAGATAATACTCTGAATTAGTACTTCAGAGTATTCAGGGTGGTGCCCGCCACCATGCCTGGCTAATTTTTGTATTTTTAGTAGAGATGGGGTTTCACCATGTTGGCCAGGCTGGTCTCGAACTCCTAACCTCAGGTGATCACTCACCTTGGCCTCCCAAAGTGCTGGGATTACAGGCGTGAGCCCCCGTGCCTGGCTGAGACCTTTTATCCTCTATAAATAATATAAACTATAATGTTGTTCATGCCACCCTGATAATATATTTTCCTGGAATTTATCATAGGGAAATAACACTAAACTACAATTCTCACGTATTCTGCATAATAAAACTCAAAATATGTACGAAAAAGAATTGTGAAATCTGAAAAGTGCTTTGCAAACATAAAAGTGGTCATATCAAGCTTATTACATTTCTGTAAAACAGAAAGAAGAATTCATGTCATAACCTACTCTTATGAGATGTCATGGTTGCCCAAAAACTAGTGAATTGTGAAAGCATTTTTAATTCTATAAGACAGTGATTGCTATTGTGAGTGGGGAGGCAGAGGACACATATGGATACTTTTTAAAGCTTTATTTATTTATTTGAGATGGAATTGCACTCTTGTTGCCCAGGCTGGAGTGCAGTGGTGCAATCTCGGCTCAATGAAACCTCTGCCTCCCGGGTTCAAGCAATTCTTCTGCCTCAGTCTCCCGAGTAGCTGGAATTACAGGCGCCTGCCACCATGCCTGGCTAATTTTTTGTATTTTTAGTAGAGACAGGGTTTCATCATGTTGGCCAGGCTGGTCTCGAACTCCTGACCTCAGGTGATCTGCCTGCCTTGGCCTCCCAAAGTGCTGGGGTTATAGGCGTAAGCCACTGCACCAGGCCTTTAAGTCTTTATTAAAGTGTGTGGTATGCAGCCTTTAAGATTGCACCTGATGATTCCTGCCTCTTAATATTCCCCTCTCCTTGAGTGTGGGCTGGAATTATTGAATTGCTTATAACAAGTAGAATATGGCAGCAGAGATTAGATGTCTCCTCTGAGACGTCTCATCTTGTGCTTTTTTTTGCATCACTTACCCTGGGGGAAGCCAGCTGCCATGTGGTGAGGTAGCCCTGTGGAGAGGTCCGTGTGGTGAGGATTGAAACCTGCTAACAACCTCATGAGCGAGCTTAGAAGTAAATCTCCCTCCACCTCATGTGAGCCTTCAGATGAGACTATAACCCCATCCAACAGTTTGTATCTCATGAGAGACCCTGAGTCAGAGCCACCCAGCTAAGCCATGCTCAGATTCCTGACCCACAGAAACTATGAGATAACACGTTTATTGTTTCGAGCTGCTAAGTTTTGGGACAATTTGGTATGCAGCAGTAGATAATATAAAGTATAATATACATACAGAAGAATGTGACCATCATAAATATAGAGTTCAACAAGTTTCATGAAATGGTCACACCCAAGTAACAAGCACCCAAATCAAGAAACAGAACCGGTACCTTGGAAGGCCCCACCATGTTCCCTTCTATTCACTACTGCTTACTCCAGGAGTAACCACTGTCTAGACTTCTAACAGCACAGACTTTTTTTTTTCTTTCTGTTTCTGTACCTTGGAATCATACACAATGGAATCCTATAGAATGTACTCTTTTGTGTCGACTGGTTTTTGATTAGCATTACATTCATCACATGTAGTTTCTGAAAGCCTACTCTAAAATGCCATTGCTTAATCATAATATTTAATCTATTCCAAATAACAGTAAAGAAGACTGTGAGTTTATATATATGTAAAAAATGGGAGTCTAAGTAAAGAAAAATTGAAACACATTTCTAGGCCAGGTGCAGTGCCTCACACCTGTAATCTCAGCACTCTGAGAGCCTAGGAAGGAGGATTGCTTGAGCCCAGGAGTTGGAGACCATCCTGGGCAACACAGCAAGACCTTGTCTCTACCAAAAAAAAAAATTTTAATTAGCCAGGCGTACTGGTGCACACTTGTAGTTCCAGATGCTCAGGAGCCTGAGGCAGGAGGATCGCTTCTGCCTAGGAGATTGAGGCTGCAGTGAGCTATGATCACACCACTGCACTTCAGCCTGGGCAACAGAGTGAAACCCTCTCTCAATATATACTTTTTTGTATATGACCAAGAGTAGAAAACATGATAAAAGCTTTGAGGGACCTCCAGAGCAAAAAATTTGTGTTAGCTGTGGGTAGCAGTCCAATATATACTGTTCAGCATATAGGTCTTAGAGTTAAATGGCTGGATTAGAATAGTGGCTTAATTGCTCATGATCTGTGTGATCTTGGGCAAGTTAATCTTTCTGCATTTCAGTATCTGCCTGTAGAATGAAGATAATAGACAAGATTACTGAGAAGATGAAGAAATGGAAATGAATATAAATCAAGTAGCAATGCTTTGCACATATAAGTGCTCAAAAATTACTATTATTAAGAAGTGTTTCATTTGGGGGTTTTAAAAATTATAGGTTGCCAAATTTGTACTATCTGTGATTTTTATCATGTAGGAGGTGATTTTCCTGTGAGTAGAAAATGCAGGGCTGGGAGTGGTGTCTCACGCCTGTAATCCTTGCCCTTTGGAAGGCAGAGGAGGAAGAATTGCTCGAGCCCAGGAGTTCAAGACCAGCCTGGGCAACACAGTAAGACCCCCATCTCAAAAAAAAGGAAGGAAGGAAGGAAGGAAGGAAGGAAGGAAGGAAGGAATGGAGGGAGGGAGGGAGGGAGGGAAAATGCAGCTCCCTCGATTCTTTGTTTCATGGCTTTTCTGCCCCTCCCTAGGGAGAGCGAATGAGAGAAGCAGGGATGAAGTTCAAACCAGTCATCTTCTTTGTTATTAACTTTGATAGGAAAGTGGAAGGGGCAGGATAAAACTAAAGGCTGAATTGAGGCTTTGTCAGTGGATTTTTATTATCAACATAATCTCAATTCTTCATGGCCATGGATCCCTAACAATCGATTATTTTCTTTTTCATAGTAAGTCCGTGTCTATTTTTAATTCCCACCCACTCTGCCTCTGTTCGAATCTCTCTGATGAAGGTAATAAAAGATTTAGATTTAGAAAGCGACTTCGCATTTGGAATGAGACAGCGACTATAAATAGACATGTCAATGAAATAGGTTAGTGTGGGATCTGGATCTCTCAGAGTCTCAGAATCAAAGGCACACATTCTTGCCTGATCTGTGTACTGGCACAGGCATTCTTGCCAGGGTCTCCCAAACAGTTGTGTGTATGCGTGTTTCTGCATGTGTAAACATGAATACATGCATGGGACATATACAAGCATATTATCAAGGACAGAATTCAGAGAGGCACCTGCTGTATTTCTGAATGGTGGAGTGATCTTTGTGGGCCAGATTGTTATCCTTATCCTGACAATTATTACTGGAGAAATCAACACAAAACATTACTCCCAAATAGTCAACTCCCAGTCTGTAGAATAGCGGCACAGCTTCCAGGCGCAGTATGTTATATTACTGACCATCCTCCTTCCCACCACCAGACTTTGAGAACCCATCAGGACAAAGGGTCCACAGTGATGTTCCAATGTGCCAAACGCAGAGGTCAGCTTGGCAACTGGTTTGCTAATCACGAAGGCTGCCATTCAGTCTGGAAGGTCATTGCTTGCCATGTATAGTTGCTAAAATTCTAACCTACTCTTCAAGGTCTGGGATAAACATTTCTTTTACTATGAAACCATCCCTGATCACTTTAGTGATCTTCCTCCTCTAAATTCCTAAAACAGTTTGACTCTTACACAATACTGATGATCGTATACTGCCTTGAACTGGGTGCCTATTTTGTTTCTCTATTTGATTGTGATCTCTGGATACACAAAAGACAATGTCGTTCATCTCTGTATCCCTGGCAGCACCTAGGATAGTAACAGGTGCTGCTCACCTTTATTGAACAAATATGCACTCCAGGTTACTCGCCTCTGGGTGCCAACTATTTTGTCAATGTACCTGCTAATTTGTGGCACCCACAACTGGAAGCATAAGGGGTGTTTAAGGAAATGTTGTAGCATCAGTATCCCTGAATATGTTATGATATACAATAATTAAAAATTGGATACTAACAGACCTGTCAAGATCTTGGAACTGTTTTGCTGTGATTTCAGATCCCAGTGACAATAAGAGAATGTAAATAACTTGATACCTCTCAGCTGACTAGTTTTGAATATGAAATTGGCCTGCAGATGGCCGAGCACAGTGGCTCATGCCTGTAATCCCAGCACTTTGGAGGCCGAGGCGGGTGGATCACCTGAGGTCAGGAGTTCGAGACCAGACTGACCAACATAGTGAAACCCCATCTCTACTGAAAACACAAAATTAGCCAAGCATGGTGGTGGGTGCCTGTAATCCCAGCTACTCGGGAGGCTGAGGCAGAAGAATCACTTCAATCCGGGAGGCGGAGGTTGTAGTGAGCTGAGATCACACCACTGCACTCCAGCCTGGGCAACAAGAGTGAAACTCCATTTCAAAAAAAAAGAAAGAAAGAAATTGGCCTGAAGGCAAGATAGTGACCTAGATGACCTTCTGTGGGCCTGCCCACGCTTGAGATTCTACATTACATATAGTCAGAGCATTCCAGGATTCCGTAAGTTACTGGCCAAGAACAAAGACTAAACTTCAAGACTGAAAGAGCCTTAAGAGTTATTTTGCCAATTCCTTAATCTCCCTGAAACCATTGGGGCAGACTTATTCCTTCCCTTGTTGCCTTTTCTTGTTAACTACCTAGAGGCCATAGTTGACAACATCTGATGAATTGATTTGTTTCATGATAAATTCTGCAGTTAAAATAAGTTTTTTCCGAGCCAGGGGGATCACTTGAGGCCCGGAGTTCAAGACCAGCCTGGCCAACATGTTGAAATCCGTCTCTAAAAAAATAAATAAATAAAATAAATAAGTCTTTTTTGGTCTTAGACAAAGTAAACATCTGCTGCAGTTAGAATAAGTTAAAACAGTGATCTTAAGTTATTAAAATAGTGTATGTTTCTATTTCCTGGGAAAAGTTCCTCTCAAATGCCTAACCATATTTTCTAAGATTTTCATTTTTTCCCTGGGCCCTTGAACATTAAATGCGCATGGTTGGAAATTTAGCACATAACTACAAATGGCAGCAAAGTGCTTATAAGCTTAAATCCAAAGTAGTCTGTAATTCTTTGTCCATTATAATCCTTGTTACTAAGAATACCTCAAAGGTGAGGCCTGGCTAATCCTCCATAAGTAAATTCTGCCCCCTTGTGGATTAAAATAGCAACAGGAAGGAAAGAAATGCTGTAGTTGTATGGGCCAGTTCAAGATGGTTGAAAGAGCCCTTCAACCATCTTGAAAAGTCATGTTAATGAGGGAACATAACTATGGCCAGGTGTGGTGGCTCACGCTTGTAATCCCAGCACTTTGGGAGACTGAGGTGGGTGGATCACCTGAGGTCAGGAGTTCCACACCAGCCTGGCCAACATGGTGAAACCCTGTCTCCACTAAAAACACAAAAATTAGCTGGGTGTGGTGGTGTGCATCGGTAATCCCAGGTACTCAGAAGGATGAGGCACTTGAATCCAGGAGGTAGAAGTTGCACTGAGCCCAGATCATGCCACTGCACTCCAGCTGAGGCACACACAAAGAAAACCACATACACAATAGGACAAAACTTGACCTTTTGTATAAATTGTGTAAGTGCTCACTGATGGTGACAAAATACACTGACAGTAGTGTACACTTGTATTTTATATTTTGCATCACATTCAACTAAGACAGGGTCCTGAATATGCTAAGCACTCATAATTATTAACAGTTCTAGTGGGCCGGGCGCGGTGGCTCACGCCTGTAATCCCAGCTCTTTGGGAGGCCGATGTGGGCGGATCACGAGGTCAGCAGATCGAGACCAACCTGGCTAACACCGTGAAACCCTGTCTCTACTAAAAATACAAAAAACTGAGCCGGGCGTGGTGGTGGGCACCTGCAGTCCCAGCTACTCAGGAGGCTGAGGCAGGAACATCACTTGAACCTGGGAGGCAGAGCTTGCAGTGAATCCAGATTGCACCACTGCACTCCAGCCTGGGTGACAGAGCGAGATTCCATCTCAAAAAAAAAAAAAAAAAAAGTTCATAGAACATTATAGTTAGAAAAGACATTAAATATTGGGTTTAACATCCACATATAGGGATCCCTTTACAGCTCCTCACACACCCTCATTTGATTGACTCCAGTAATGGAAAATTCACAAAACAGTAGAGCTTTTTCTCTTATCAGACAGTGCTGTTACAGAGTCAGTCAACATATTAAGCCCAAATTGCATAAGCCCTTTCCTTTCTTTCCCTCAACTTCTCCCTTTTCCCTCACTCCTTTTCCCCATCTTTCTTCTCCTCTAAAACCAACCCACAGACTGGGAAGGAGGTAGAAGCTCAATATCTGGCCTCCTTGACTGACACCCCACAGCTCAGGCTGTCACCTTGGTCTTTGTACTCCCACCATTTCTCTTTTTCTTTGAGAAGAAGTTTCACTCCGTTGCCCAGGCTGGAGTGCTGTGTCATGATCTTGGCTTGCTACAGCCTCCACTTCCTGAGTTCCAGCGATCCTCCTGTCTAAGCCTCCCTAGTAGCTGGGATTACAGGCATGGTTACCACAACTGGCTAATTTTTCTTTTTCTTTTTCTGACACAGAGGCTTGCTCTGTCACCCAGGCTGGAGTGCAGTGGCGCAGTCAGGGCTCACTGCAACTTCCACCTCCCGGGTTCAAGTGATTCTCCCATCTTAGCCTCCCAAGTAGCTGGAATTACAGGCACCTACCACCACGGCCAGCTAATTTTTGTGTTTTTAGTAGGGAAAGGGTTTCACCATGTTGGGCACGCTGGTCTTGAACTCCTGACCTTGTGATCTGCCCAGTTCAGCTTCCCAAAGTGCTGGAATTATAGGCGTGAGCCATTGTGTGGGCGACACCACTTATTTCAAGGCCTCCAGGAAGAAATATCCCCTTTGGAGGGGTGGGAGGAAATAACTAGGCACCACGTTGATTCCCTAATTCTGACCGAACGAACAAAATGCAGTAAACCCATTATTTGTTTTGTGGCCTTTAAATGTTGGAAGGTAGCTACGATGTTGCCCCTTGGTTTTCCATCCTCATAATTTATTCACCTATAACTGCATTAGCTGTTCCTCATATATTTTTCTGACCCTATCATTTGCCGGTCATGACTCCCCGAATGCCCCTTTTTGTCAATGTCCCTCCCAGTTTTCAGCATCTAAAACTGAACACAGTTGCTCTGGATATGCTAGGTTGGCTAGTATAAAGTACGATGGAGCTGTTACTCCCGTATTTGGAACATCAAACCTCTATGAATGCGGCCACATCATACTGGTGGTCAATATAAATCTCTTAGTTCCCCAGGTCCTCCAGGTCTTTCTCACCCTGAACTTGTGTCTCACTGAAACTTTTAACATTTGCCTCCATTCAATTTCTTCTTGCTTTGGGTTGGAATCTCAGCCACCAGCAGGATAACTATGTACCTCAGTGTGTCCAACCAGATTAGCTCTGCTACCTAGCTCTGTGCCATC